CTCTCTCCTCTCTCTCTCTCTCTGTACGCGCGGACGTACGGATACAGATCTCCTCTTTCTCTTGCTGCTTTCCACGCCTCGCTGCTTTTCGGTCTTTCCGCGTTGAAATCTTTTCATGAATCTTTGCTGTTTGCTACGAAGAAAAATTTCTTCGACGACAGTGGTCACCACGCCGCGAGAGTACATTTGTCGCGATCTGCATCACCTTGATCGTTTAAAAACGTAAAATTGAAAAGCCGAAATTTTCTTCAAGATTGTCGTATTTTAAAGGAGAGTTTATCTTTTCCGTTTTTGCGTAAAACATTCTTTTTATAAAAGTCAATAAAAAGTGATTGTACAACGATAATACAACAAACATATATGATATGAGAACGGCGAAATAACAATTCTTTTTTAATAGATCTTTACAGTGTTTAACAACAGATCTAGATATTAAAGAATTTCAAGCGGAAAGACAAGATTGTCAGCAGGTACCGATATCAATTGAAATGTCTGCGTCAACGAATTTGCGCGAGAAATTCCCGGATAACTTCGCGGAAATCCTCACACTCGGACGAAAGCGTGTACTTGACAGAAATTAGTATTCCTTAATGGATGACGCGATATCCGGCTGGTTTATTCCGCACCACTGTAGATTCCGTTCTTCCTTGGTCTTAGACTTAAGGCTGGGAGCCATTCAATTAATTTCAGAAGACAATAGTAGCTCTCACTTCCACATTGTCGAATCGTGCCTGTACGAGTTTCATTATACACACTCGATCATTACGTCGTCAAACCCGCGCTACTCCGGATATTTATATAATTATTTAGAAAAATGAAATATGAATGACGTCTAAACGTCTTAATTCGTCTTTTATAATTCGTTAAGAATTTCGTTAACCTTTACAGAAATAATTAAACGTACTAATAAAAAAATAATAGATTTAAAGATATGATGGAACAGTAAGAATTAATTACGATAAAAAATACGGTTGTCAAGTTTGCTGATAGAATAAAATTTAGAATTTATATGAACATCTCATTGCGCGCAGCGTCGTAGTATAGCTATATCTGCAGTTTAATTTGTGGCTGAGAAAGCAAAATGAAAAAAATTACGGAGGTGGCGATTATTCGCGAGGGTTTAATTATAGGTAACTATATAGATCTGTGACAACTTAATTATCACTTAAGTTAATCCAAGTATTAGATAATTTGAAAATGCAATTACGCGTATCTAGAGATTATTTTATTTCTTTTATCAAAATAGCTACCAAAATGACGACGACCACGGGCGATCCGTCGACTTTAAAGACTCCGGCCTCCTTGTCGGGTGGAGATCTCGTCTCTCGTCTTTTGGCGGCCACCCCTCCGTATCTGTACAACGTGCCGCTAACGCCTCACAGCTTCTTCTTCAGCGAGATGCTACGCTCCTTCGTGCAGGCAAAGACGGAGGCATCATCGGCTAGCGGCGGCGGTGGCAGTGGCGGCAGCGGTGGTGGAGGCAACGGTGGCGGTGGCGGCGGCGGTGGTGGCGGAGGTATGCCAAATGCGTCGCGACGCCGTAAGCGATCCTGGCGAGACGCTCGAGACAGGCCGCTGGAGCTCACGACGAAGGAACGACCGCACCATCATCATCATCATCATTATCACCAGCATTCGGACAAGTACTATCATTCGACGGCGCAGCAGCAACCTCCTCAAGTGTCGCCAGAGACTCGTCTGGAGAACGACGGCAAGCGATCCGACGCCTATCTCGACACGCTGGAGAACAAAGTCGGCGCGGCGTTTGATCAGAAACCCAACTTTGGCGGCGATATCCTTAAACCCATCGATGAAAACAAGACCGAGTTTCCGCGACAGCACGGTAAAAATTTCTTCGACGAACGACCGCGACACTTTGAACAGGCTCAGCCGCCGGACAACATTTTTTCCAGCGGAGAAGCGCGAAAGGTCAAGCCGGAAGATTCGCAGCAGTTGGATCGCAGCAGTGCAGGTAGGAACTGTAATTTCGACAGCGGCAGGAGTTACGAGGACCGCTCGAAAAGTATCGTGCCCAGCCAGGAAGTATCCTCTCTGCAACTGTCGGATCAGAAAAAGTTGGATTTTTCACGGGCAGGCCCCTTCCTGCCCGGCATGCCGGGCAGAGGATGCGAGAGCGTACTTCAGAGCGTGAAAAGCTTCGCTCTGCCCGGCGGCGTGTCCGGCCCAGCGGAATTTCTACCCGGACCTCTGTGGTACCCACCGTATCCGATGCCGCAGTCCTATCCCGGCATCGATCCTCTACACTTCTTCATAGACTTACGCGTCTCCGGTCACATTTGGGATCGCAAGCACGCGAGCGAACGACAGCTGTCTTTCAAGAGCAAACATTGCTCGGCTTTCAGCGTGCCGCAATCTAAGGAGTGCGGTAATCGTCCGTTGAATCTTACCCGCGATGAGGCCACAACATCGAAGAATCCGGACGCGGAGAACACACGGGGTACCAATTATATCTTGAAGCACCTCATGAAAACGTATCAGGACATACAGCAGATGAAGACCTCCAGGTTGGATGCGTCGATGGAGAGCGAGGAGAATTCGAAGGAAGCGCAGCAAGGTAGGATACATATCGCGACATTTTCGTTTTTACAACCTCTTTTCCTGCAACCATTCCCAATCATTTGTCCCACTGTTCTTTTATCTTGCAAATTCAATTGGGATCAGGATTAAATGCAATTATTTTGCTATAGGCAATATGTTTCATTTTATAAGATATTAGAAATATTACTTCTATACTAATGATTGTCTCTTATATTATTGAGATTTTGATAAGCATATACTTGTTATTTTCGCTCATCTAATACTCCAAGATAATTGCTATTTTAAAAAGGCAAGCGCGTATACGCCTAAGATAAAACATGCATGATATCGTGATGGTTTTTCAAGCTGGCGAAGATACCGCAAAGGTGGAGGACTCTGGTAGTATGGCTATAAATACCGAAGAGGATAGAAAGGATTTGCGGGCTCTGATCGGTCTTGAATTAGTGGTGGACTACGTGAAAGAACCGAAGGATGACTCATCGAACGAGCACACGTCACAAGTAACGGAATAACTTATCCTAACGAACGCAATTTGCAAAGGAACGCGCGCGGGACGATCCTTCCACTTTAATCACTAAAATAGTCGTAGTGTTGTTATTCTCTCGTATAACACCTCCGAAAAACCACTGCATTCGCGATGGTATTCTTTTGCCGTAATATAGTACCTCAGGCAAGATAGAATTCGCCGGACTGTGCACAAAATCGGACTGTTTCGTATATGTACGCAACGTACGTGATATATCTCCAATTATTAAAATTCAGAGAATATATTCGTTTTAAATAAAATGTTTTTGCGAAAATGTTTTTTTTTTTTCTATTAAAAATTTTTCTTCTAACGAAGATTTATCGCTGTTTATTGAAGAAGTGTGTAAAATTTAATTTATGTAATAACTAATGTATTTTTCAAATATCATGCCGGTTGCACGTCTAGAAACAGAATTGTCTTCCCCGATTTGATTCTTTATATTCTCAATAATCAAAAAGAAGAATGCGAATCAACTCTTGGTGAGAATTAAAGGGTCGCGAAACTCGCGAATGTAAAATCTTATCGGAATGAAATAGCTCCGATGCGAATTCGACATGTGATATGTACTGTAAATATTATAATAGTATCCCGATGTATGTATGATATGTATCGATAGAAACATTCGTTGTTGTAAGTTGAATGTAATAAAAGCAGTGCGATTTAACTGCATAACGTTCGTTTCTTATCAGCTCGCGCTTCCCTTTTGTAAACGAATAAAAGTTTAATTTTAACACGCACGAGTTATGCGCTATCGTGATTAGCTATGACGCGAAGCTCCAAGATCACTTCGCCCTTATTGTTGCCGTTCAGCTTCATCAATTTCCGACCTCCTTGCGGAACGAGAATGACGTCGTCGAAGCTGCCTCTTCTGGTAGCCGGTTCGGTTAATCTGTAGTACGCGACAGGTCGATCCGCGTCCCTGCTCAACTCGACATACGGTTTTTCCGGTGTGACGAGAGTGTATACCTGATCAAGTCGACATAGCACTGTCAAACTTAAATTCACTCACATACATACATACACACTAGATAAATATTAAATACATATGGAATCCACGTCACATATAGAAATTACAAAGAAGATACAAAAAGTACTATAACGCGCGTACATACATAAAATGCGTGTGATCTTTGTGCGAGCCTTTTTTTTATTCGTCTTACAATTATAGATAGATAGGTAGCTTCCAGCTTCTAAACGTTTACTGACCTTTCTGTTCGGAGCTACGGCATTCTCGTTTTCGAGAGGGTCTCCCGCGGAGAAAGTTAGATCTAGATCGCGAGAAGCCTGCTGTTCCACGATCGGATAAATCGCGTCGTTGTTCCGCGCACCAGTTAGATTTTCCTGCAGGTAATAAACTCTGCCATTGGCATAGGTCGCGACAGAGATGGCGATTACGAAGAAAATAGCGTTCTTCATGTCCGATAGCAATTTTTGAAAGACTCGAAGATGCGATGCGACGCGCGAAGAGTCCACGAGGATAATGGAACAAAAGTTTTCAGTGCACTGACAGATGCTGGACTCGCGCTAATCCGCGGATAAGACGATTATCGCGTCGTCGCGTATAGAAGCAATTAATTAAACATACGTGACGTTCTTAGGTGGGCGGGATTAAAATATTTCCAATGACGCGTCGATGACACTTGTCAAATCTTTTTGGTATAAATATAATGTCAAGCGAGAGAAATAGCAAATAATTCCAGCCGGAAAAAAGTAAGTGCGAGCACTGCGCGCTCGTTACAGGATGCGCTAAAAAGAAGCGAGGCACATCTTCAACAGGTGATAGCGTCAATATCATTTTGAAAAAGAATACGTAATAGCTCTCTAGTGTAAAGTGTAGTGATGTTGAAGTAAGATTCTCAAATGTCCCTCATATAATTCCACGAAGATATGTATGTTTTTCTTCCGGAGTGTTCCGCACGTGCAATGTGTCGAATAGTTGCATCGTCTTTCGCGCTCCTTAAAGAGTCGAGGGATGAGAGGCATACGTGCGTTATTGGGGCGCGACGAGAGATTAAAAACGACTTTTTTTCGAGAGGATCGCTTCTCCATTGCGACCGGAGGGGGGGGGGGTGGTTGCATCGGCCAGACCTGGATCCTGAATAATGCATGAAATTTGTTCCCCGGAATCGAATCGCGCCTCGTCACCGGCGCGACGGCACGGCGCGGCGGCACGACGGTACGAGGACAAGAGAGCGGGCATAAATCTAAATAATTTCAACCCTCGAATTTTTATTATTCCTATGACTACGACGGCACACACAACAGACACGCACGCACGCAAGCACGCACACGTACTCCGCTTCGAGGTCCTCGTATCTCGCTCCTCGTGCGGCTCGTGCCCCGTTGAATATGCATGTACCGCGCTTTCCAACACTTGGCCGGGAGCCGGGAGTGTCGGACCTTTGTGCAACTATCCCGCTGCGGCCTATGCACATCGTGCTTCTTGCTCTCGACTCGCACAGCCTGCTCGTACATACTCGTTAGCATTGCCGTTACATCGCGCAGACAAGAGCAGATAATGTGTGACGAGTTTATCAATTCCGTCGTTATTGAATGTTTTGCCGGATTTGAAACGCATTTTAACGCGTTTAATGTCATATGTCGTATAGTTTGGGGATCGATAACATGCGGTAAGATATACGTCATACATTTGATAGATATAAAAAGCACCGAGCGTCTCGACAAAAAATCCACGCTGATAATAAATGTATTGCAATATCGTCTAGTGTGCAATATATACATATATAAAATATATTCTATTTAGAATAAAAAATTCTAAATTAGAGATACGAATTGGGTATTTTGTCACGATTTATCAACATGCGCGAGTATATCGGAAGATTTCTTTTTCAACGTAATACGAATACCATTGAAAAGCACCGCGTATCTACGTCTAAAGGAAAATCTAATAACTGAATTTTTGAACGGAGAAGTTAGTCATTACTCACCCAGCGGATCGCGATAAATCACAGAAGAAATTAACGAGCGGCGAAGATGACACTTGGTCCCCTCCTCATCTCGTCCTTTTCCTTCGCCGTTTCTACCCCCACCGGTGAAATATGGCCGGCAACTTTTCTCATACTTGAGAGTTTTCCTGAGCGGCGCGGCGCATCCCACGTACCATATCGTTCTAGAGGACGAGGAGGCGAGGGCAAGAGCAGGGGGAAGTTATCAAGTGCTCCTTGCGGGATGAGTGCTATAAGGTAACACTACGAGGGAAGGAAAAGAGCGATACACCTCTTCGTAATGTTGGCATAAAGAACGATCGAGAGGACTTTCCATATACATATCATTAGTTTCCTTCGTGATTGTCTCTTTCGAAAATTATTATTCTCACATCGCTATTATAATAAAATCAAGAGAAAATGTGTATGCATGAAAATTATTAAACGTATAAATATATATACCTTTTCATAATTTAATTCGATAACTTAAAGAATATAAATAAGTATGTAGGGGTGTGTGTGTGTGTGTGTGTGTGCGTGTGTGCGTGCGCGCGTGTGTATATATATGTGTAACTTATGAATTTTCCAAAAATGTAATTCTATTAACATTTATTCTTGCATGCAAGGATCGAAATAATTTGCAATGTAGAATAAGTGTCAATTTCGTTCACTTTTATTTATTTATTTTTTTTCATAATACTGCGCATTCAACTATACTTACTCTAACGTAAGACGTTATAATGTGATACGTCTCGCATAACAATTTTATTTAAAATTATGATACAGCATTCCTACTATTTAATTTACATGGCTAATCTTTACAATCTCTACCTCTTTTCTCTGAACAGTTCAAACGATATATCATGTTGGTTATTTACAGAAGCAATGTACGATCGATGCAATCGATAGAAACGGTGACATATATACGTTTTATGAATAACAATTAAATGCCGTTTCATATTTGATAAATCATTGAAATAAAGTCGAATTACGCAATTTAAATCAAGATAGTAGTTTTAGGAAGAGAAAAATCTACATGCATACGCGCGGACGACTGAAAGAATACTCAATGATACTTGTAACTCTGTCAATTCCAATTGCGAATCTAATAGAGACGCACGCACAAAACTGCATGCGATACAACAAATGGTAGAAAATAGCGGTCCCTTCATCGCGGACACACGAATTCTACGAGTATTTGGCAGTTCAAATTTCGCGGCCAACAAAGTGTCTGCCTGCCTATTTGGTTTGGGCGGCAACTTTCTCGCAAATTTCATTGGTATACTCACTGCACTTTGCAGTGCCGCCTAGATCACCGGTTAGATACTTTGCTTCCTTAATAGTATCGTAAGCAGCGTGTTCGATAATTTTCGCATGATTGCTCAGGCCCATGTACTTGAGCATCATGACCGCGGAGAGCAACAACGCTGTGGGGTTTGCCTTATCTTGGCCGGCAATATCAGGTGCCGTTCCGTGTACCTATATAAATTTTATCATTTTATTAAGTAAAATTAATATACGATATTTATGTAAAATTTATTCGCATATTCGCATGAATAAATGACTATACCGATTCGAACAAGGCTCCGTTCAGACCAATGTTACCACTTGGTGTCAGACCGAGACCTCCGACGAGTCCAGCGCACATATCAGATAAAATATCACCATACAAGTTAGGCATGACAAGCACGTCATATTGACTTGGATCTTGCACCATGTTTAGACAAACTGTATCCAAGTACCTCTCCTCGAACTTGACAGATGGAAACTTTTGTGCGGCTTCTCGACAACACCTCAAGAACAAGCCATCTGACATCCTCATGATATTCGCTTTATGTACAGCAGTAACCTACAAATAGATTGTTGTCAGTCTGACTGGTCACATTTGCCACGGCCGCGGTGGTGTTTTACCGCTTGAAAATATCTCAAGTATACCTTTTTCCTATTATTATCTGTCGCATATTGAAAAGCAAATTCTGCTACTCTGCGAGAGGCTTCCTCCGTGATTAACTTAATAGACTGTACAACGCCTTCTACAATCTCGTGTTCTATACCCGAGTATTCGCCTTCCGTATTTTCTCTGATAGTAACGACGTCGACATTATCGTACAGTGTCTTGTACCCTTCCAAGGATCGACACGGTCGCACATTGGCATACAAATTAAATTCCCTGCAAATATTTGCAAACAGATAAGTGAGACGCGTGTATTTTACTGCCCGCGCTTATCGTGATATTATGATTATGTAAGCATGCGTGCATCACTTTGGACAGCTGCGCTGTTTTAAAAATTCAGCAGATATGCTCGCAAATATCTCGCGAAATTAATTTAAATTATGCTTGATTATACGTAGATATGTTCGGGATGCTTACTTTCTGAGTGCAAGATTGAGAGATCTGTGACCTTTTCCAATTGGAGTCATTAGAGGTCCCTTAAGGCCAATTTTATTCCTATTGACAGAATCGATGGCTGCTTGTGGTATACCGAACTTGCCATCAGGACCCTTTACTGGTGTTACATCAACTGATTCCCATTCTATTGGCACCTGGTTTTTTTTTTCAAATAAATTAAAAACTTATTGCAAAAGATAAAAGGGAGGAAGGGAGGTTGATATATATATATATATATATATATA